GAGAGAAGAGCGAGAGAGGAGAAGAGAGAGATGAGAGAGAGAGAGAGAGAGAGAGAAGGAGATAACTTATAATAGTTTAGAAAGAAAAGATTTTGTTTTAAATTATTTTTGTAAATTTTAAGAATCAGAAATAATACTTATAGGTGTTTAATCGTGGTGACATCGAGGGAAGAAGGACTAGCAAGAATCAGATTCCAAACTTCTGTAAGTATACAATGATTCTTTATTACAGTAATATTTTTGTTTCTCTCCAGTTTTTATGTTTGAAAGTTCCAACATGTTCATGGCCAATCTTTATGATTAATTTTTAGATCATGATTTTACTACTCTGTTCAAATGATTGATCATGCAAAATTTTATACTATATTTTATGACATTATATGATAGAGATTATGTAATTTATGAGAATGAAAAGATATGATAAGATATGAATGTTATTGAACTACTTGTATGTGTATGCTGAAAGGATGGAGTTCACCCCCTTATGGTACTAGCTGGGACGCTGTACTCCGTGCACGTAAAATGGTAAAGGATATGGAAAGGAAAATGGTAAAGGAGTACCTTAATGGTACAGACGGTGACTCTTTGACGGTTGTATTATAACGAAAAGAGAAAGCTAATATAATGATATGAATATATAAATGAAATTGAAATGAAGATATGGTCATGATATGATATGTTTAATGTATGTTAGTATGAATCATTTTATGTTATATTCAATGAAATTGACATCCAGCATATTACCAATTGCTTGTACTGTAGTATGAATTGTGTTATTACTTATGAGCTTTAGCTTAATGTTAGTTTGTTAACATTTTCAGGTAAGCTTAAAGTTAATCAAAGATGAGTAGAAGAGGTGGAAATGTTTATCGTCGTAGAAAGCTCCAGAAGAAAGGTAATTATGTTTTTGTTTGAGTTTTGTGTTTAGTAGTGTTTTCAATTTGATGTTTTAGAGGCTCTTTCAATATTTATGGAGTAGATTTAGAGATTAGATAATTTAATCTTGTCCGACTTCTGTTCCCCAGCCTCGCCTGCGCGAGCTCACGGCCGGGTCGTGACAATATATTATTAGAGATAGGGGTGTCAAAAACAGATTTTGGGTGCAATTTGAGTCAAACCTGAAATTGACCACGTCTTAACTCATCTGCCCCGAAACTGACCTGTTCGTCCAACGGGTTAAACAACTGAAGACCAAAATAAGACCTGACACCAACTTGACTCGATCCAACCCGCTAAACTGCGAGTGCAAGCAAACGAGCATACGGGTAAGTACAAGGGCAAGGCCGCGAGGATAGGGCGTGAAGGCGAGGCTGCAAGGGCGAAGCGCGAGTGAGGTGCGAGCGCCAATGGGCAAGGGGCCGACTCACGAGGCAAGATGCAATCGAGCGTTGTTCAGGTCAACAAGTAGATTTCGGGCTCGTAGTTTAACCACAACCCTGCTTGTTAAAATGGGTCTACCTGAACCCGGAATTTATGAGTCGGGTTTCAAAATATATTGGACACCCTAATTAGAGATACCATTATGTCTTTTCGACAAAAATATTTCACTCCCTAATCATTCAATCTTTACTACAAGAGCGGCTCCACTAATGACAAATACCATAGACAAGTGCAAGCCATCTTCAACAAAGATCTAGTTTGCAACAAAGGACCATGAAGCCACGAAGGGTGAGCATGCTAAGGAGATAAACCATCATCCTTATCCCCACCTATTGCAATCACACGACTACTATCCTCTCCTTCTTAGCTTGGTTACCGACCAAGGCATTTGAACTCATAGCTCAATAGCCACTTATTAGAACCTCACATGGCGAAAGTTGGTTCTGTGAATAAGATTCTTAGCATCCAAGCCATGTCGAGAAGGACCTAGAGTCTCGTAGAGGCAAATGGAGCAAGTGGAGAGGTCTCCCTACTGCTTTTATAAGGTTTTGGAGTCCAAGACGAGGTAGTGGTGACTCCCTGCATCCATAAGTCAACAAGGTTGAGCCAATGATTCGATAGAGTTCTCATGTTGTAATGCCTCCAAGCCGAGGTAGTGGGCGCTACCAACATCCTTGAGATGAACAAGGTTGAGTCATCATTGCTGGCAGGGTTCATGATGCAAAGAAGAGATTTTCTTTCTGCCTCCAAGCATTTTGTTAGATCCTTTGTGTAGGATTTTCCTTGGGGAGAAAGTAGATTTCATCCATTATGAAAAAGAAAATTGTACCATGGTTGTAATATAGTATATATATATATATATATATATTTCACCAATTTTTAAGTTCTTTCGTACTCTTATACAAAAGCAGTTTCATAGCCTATAAAGCAATTGCATATAATCATTGATTTATAATTGAAATAGAATTTTTTGCTTACTCATCTTCTATGTTTTTACATTTTAATGGTCATGATGAAATATTTTGCTTACTACTCCTTTGTATGAATAACTAGGTGAGCCTTGGAGATCATAGAGTTTGCTTTTTGGTACCTAGAAATCTTAACTTTATAACTCTACTAAAGAATAAAATGATAACTTAACTATTAGAGAGAAATG